GCCCCAGCTGGCCTGGAACTCACTGTGTAGACCAGGCTGGCCTAGATCTCAGAGATCCACCTACCTTTGCCTCCTGAGTGCTGGGATTAAAGGCATGCCCCACCACACCTGGCATTTTTCAACTTTCAGGTTGTTTAAAAAGATGGTGAAGGGGGCTGGAGAGATGGCTCAGTGGTTAAGAACACTGGTTGTTCTTGCAGAAGACAAGGGTTCAAATCCCAGCACCCACATGGCAGCTAACAACTGTTCGTAACTCCAGTCCCAGGGGATCTGACAGCCTCTTCTGACCTCCACTGGCATTGCACGACATGGGTGCACTTACCTGCATGCAGGCATAACACTCACACACGTAAAATAAAAATAATAAATAAATTTTTTTAAAAAATATGGTGAAGATTTCACACAGAATAGTGTGTATAGTAGGAGGAAGCCCTCCATTCTGACCTGCAGGGGGACTTTTGTCACTGATAGAAATGTTGGGCACAGATGCCAGCAGAGATGTGCTGATCTAGAAAGGAGAGGCTTAAAATGCAGTTGTGGAGTGCATATTCTTGTTTATTATGATTTTGTCACTCAGTATAAAGCCTTATTGCTATTGTCGACTGTGCCAATAGTTCATTATTTTTATTAATGAATATTCCTTTGTATGAATGCACTACAATTCCTTTATTTTCCTATTGACTGACATTTGAATTGTTTCCTTTTTTGGACATTATGAGTAAAAGTGCTATGAATATTTATGTAAAAAAATAAAAGGAAAGGGGACATTTAGAGGAAAGGACTGACATACAGAAGAGGGAGGTGAACAGGAGGGCTGTGGGGCTGTGGAGGAAGAGGTGAGCTGTTGCCCAGGGCAAGGGCTCTCTGTCCCCCTTTAACTACAGGGGCAGGGAGGGTGTGACAGGGCTGGCTTGGGTTTAGGCCCTAGAGGATTGCTGAGGTTCTGATGTAGGGCCCAGATGTAGAGCCATATGGAATTAGAAGCTTTCCCCCTTGGGTTGTGTGTTGGGGTGAGGTCAGAGCCAGGGGTCCACAGGGGGCTGTGCTGGCATTTCAATCTTTTTTTTTAAGATTTATTTTTATTTGTATGTATGTATATGCACCTATGTGTGTGCATGCTATGTGTATGTGGGTGCTTATGGAGGTTAGAGCCTGTGGGACTGGAGTTACAGGTGGTTGTGAGCTGTCCTGTGGAAAAGAAGCAAGTGCTCTTAAGCTACCGAGCCATCTCTCTAGCCCCTCTTTTTTTTTTTTTTTTTTTTTGGTCTGGTCTCCCCTGTAGCTCCAGCTGGCCTGGAACTTGCTATGTAGACCAGACTGGTCTTGAACTCACAGAGATCCCCCCTGCCTGCCTGCCTCTGCCTCCCAAGTGCTGGGATTAAAGGCATGTGTGACTACACCCAGTCTAGCCCCTCTTTTTAATTTTTTGGTAATTTTTTATTTTATTTTATTTAGTATTTACAGGGTCTTCCTATAGTCCCAGCTTGCTTGGAACTCACTCTATAGACCAGGCTGGCCTCAATCTCACAGACATCCTCCTGCTTCTGCCTCCCAGGTGCTGGGATTAAAGGTGTGCACCACTATGCCCAGCTTATTTTTTATTATTTTTAAATGTGTAGTGTCTGTGTGGGGGTATGTGCATAAGAGTATAGGTACCTGAGAGGCCAGAGGTCCCAGATTCCTCCGGAGCTTGAGTTGTGGGTGGTTCTAAGCTGTCTGACATGGGTGCTGGAAACTGAACTTGGATGTGATGGAAGGGCAATACATGCTCTTAACAGCTGAACCATCTCTTCATATGCTTTAAAAAATTTTTATTATGCTAGCCTACACCTTCAATCCCAGCACTCGGGAGGCAGAGGCAGTTGGATCTCTGTGAGTTCAAGGCCAGTCTGGTCTACATAGAAAGTGCCAGGCCATCTGGGGCTACAGGGAGACCCTGTCTCAAAAAGACCAAAAAAAATTTTTTTATTGCATTTATTTATGTGTGTGTATGTATGTGTATGTGTGCATGGAAATCTGTTCTCTCCTTCCACCATGTGGGTTCCAGGGATCAAACTCAGGTTGTCAGACTTGATGGCAAGGGCCTTTATCCTCTGGTTCATCTCTTTGACATCTCTCTATGCTGACATTTCTGGTGAGTGGTGAGAGCAAGTTGCTGAGGGTATTAGGTGAGAAGGCAGAAAAGCTGGGTAGAAAGAAGGGAAGCCAGGATGGTATTGATTGGCACAAGAAAGCATAGCAGCTCAGAGGAAGTCTTAGCCACAGCCAGAGACAGGCAATGACAGGGAGCAGGGTGAGAGGTGAGGAGGACAGCCGGGGGATGTCTGAGTTGAAGGTTGCAGATGTGGAGCTATTCCAAGTGAGGATAAGGCCAAATGTTTCCAAGAGTGCACAGTGGAGCTAGCAGGGTATGATCAGCTTTCAGTGGAGGAGATAGATGGAGAGGGAAGAGGGTCCTTAGGGAGAGCTGGGTTTCAGGGAGGGCACAGGGTAGAGGCCCTGCTTGGCATGTGGGAGGGGAATGTCTAGGTCTAAGCAGGGCTGCTTAAGGGCTCCATCCACAGAGTTGACCAGGGGAGCCAGTGAGAGAAGTGAGCCAATAGAACATCGGGCCCCATGGGGAGAAGACAGTCTGAATTTAGGTGGTGGCTAAAGATAGCAGGAAGAGATTTAGGATTAACTGGTTCTCAGGGAAATAGAGTAGTGTTCAGACATTGGAGGGGGGGAGCCTAGTGTCAGGAATGGACTCCAAGCTCCTCAGGGGCAGTCTTAAGAGAATTTCTTTGCTTATTAAGGTCTCCCACCATCCCCCAATCTCGGCATGCCATGCAGAGTCGGAGAACTTCATCTTCTGGCAAGGTGAGGGGTATAGCTCTGGGTGGACATGAGGGTCAAGAGCAGCTGGGATGGGGGCGCCACCTGGAGCATTCTGGATTACTCTGGCCTTATCTCTGCTGTTCCCTGAACTCCAGACATGAAGTGGAAGAACAAGTTCTGGGGCAAATCCTTGGAGATTGTACCTGTGGGGACAGTCAATGTCAGCCTGCCCAGGTAAGTACTGTAGATTTCAGTAGCCAGGCTAACCCATGGGCCTCCTCCTGGCTACCCATGGGGCTGAGACTGGGACGGGATAGAAAGGCCTACTCTAGCCTGGAGCTGTTGGCAGTGACTGACAGCAGCATTTGTACATTTTACACCTGTGTGTGCAGCAGCTGCTGTAAAGAAAGGTGAGAAGTCTTAGAACAGTGAAGCAGGGTGTTCATTGAGGTCATCTAAGTGTCTTTCACAATTTTTTAGTCATGACTCACAGTAAGAAGCGCACTTCATACTTCAAGCCAGTATGCTGGCAAGATGTGATGCGTGCATGCATGCGCGTACACACACACACACACACACACACACACACACATCTAAATGGATGTCAGGACTATTGGTCACAAACCACATTTGAAAAACCCTCAACTAAGCTCATCTTACAGCTGGATGACTGCAGCTAAGGAAGAAAGGGAGGTGGGGTTTTTTTGGGTTTTTTTTTTTGGTCTTTTTGAGACAGGATCTCCCTGTAGCCCTAGCTGTCCTATGTAGACCAGGCTGGCCTTGAACTCACAGAGATCCGCCTGCCTCTGCCTTCCGAGTGCTGGGATTAAAGGCATGCGCCACCATGCCTGGCGAAAGGGAGCTTTTATTAAGAGTGGCAGGAACCCTTTTTTTTTTCTCTTGAGACAGTCTCACTATGTAACACTGGCTATTCTAGAACTCACTATGAAGACCAGACTAGCCTTGATCTCACAGAGATCCACCTGCCTCTGCCTCCCAAGTTCTGGGATTAAAGGTGTGCACCACCCACCATGACTGACTGTAATATGTGTGTGTGTGTGTGTGTGTCTGAATTTTTTGCCTGCATGTATATATGTGTGCCACATGTCTGCAGTGCCTGCAGAGGCCAGAAGAGGAAGTCAGATCCTGGAACTGGAGTTAGAGATGGTTGTGAGCTGCCATGTGGATTCTGGGAACAGAACCTGGGTCCTCTGCAAGAGCAGCCAGTGCTCTTAACTGCTGAGCCATCTTACCACCATCCCCCTTCTGTATTTTTATGTGTGTGTGGCGGGGGGGGGTTAATTTTATTTATTTTTTTATTGTATGTGTATGTGTATTACCTGCATGTGTGTAAGTGTACCCATGTCATGCAATATCTACAGAAGTCAGAAGAGGGCATGGGATTCCCCTGGAGCTGGAGTTATGGACAGTTGTTAACTGCTATGTAGGTGCTGGGAATCAAACCCAGGTCCTTTGCAAGAACAATCGGTGCTCTTATCCTCTGAGCCCCTCAATTTATTTTAAATTATGTGTATGAGTGCATGTGTCTGTGTGTGGGTATGTGCACTTGTGTGTAGGTGCCTGTGGAAGCCAGAGGTGTTGGATCCCCTAGGAGCTGGAGTTATAAGTGGTGGTGATCTGCCTGATATGGTTGCTGGGAACTGAACTCAAGTCCTCTGGAAGAGTAGTACGTGCATGCTCTTCACCATTGAGCTATCTGTCTCTCTCATGCTCCCCCTAGCCCCTTTCTGTATTCTTTTAAATTTTTTTTTACTATTTTTATTTTGTGTGTATGAGTATATTGCCTGCATGTGTGTAAGTGCACCTATATCATGCAATGCCCGTGGAGGTCAGAAGAAGGCATTGGATTCCCCTGGAACTAAACTTACAGATGGTTGTTAGTCACTATTTGAGTACTGGGAATCGAACCCAGGTCCTCTGTAAGAGCAGTCAATGCTCTTATCCACTGAGCCATCTCTCTAGCCCCACTTCAGTATTCTTATCTTCATGACTTAGGTACTTGGGAACTTGGCAATAGAATCCAGACATCTTCATCGATGTGTTCCACAATGGCGACTCTGCTTTGTAAACAAGAATCTTTGTTCATATGGCCTGTAGCAGGACCCTTGGGCTTTTCCAGGCCCCAAGATCTGCTACAGGGAGATAGGAGTGTTCCTATCCACAGCCATTTGTTACTCAGGGCTGGCTGGCCTCTGCCCTCTCATTCCCTGTCTCTCTCAGGTTTGGGGATCACTTTGAGTGGAACAAGGTGACGTCCTGTATTCACAACATCCTGAGTGGCCAGCGCTGGATTGAGCACTATGGGGAGGTACTTATCCGAAACACACAGGACAGCTCCTGCCACTGCAAGATCACCTTCTGCAAGGTAGATGTGCTACCCTAACTTCTCCTCTTCACCCCAAGAGATCTCTGCATCTGGAGATACCTTGGGGCAGGGATACAACCCTTCACTCAGGCTCAGCCTTCCCCACCCCAGGCCAAGTACTGGAGCTCCAGCATCCATGAAGTGCAAGGTGCCGTGCTCAGCCGGAGCGGCCGTGTCCTCCATCGTCTCTTTGGGAAGTGGCATGAGGGATTGTACCGGGGCCCTCCACCGGGTGGGCAGTGCATTTGGAAACCCAGTAAGTGGTGTAGTCAGGGAGGGCTGGGCAGGGTGAGGGCGGCTATGGCATAGTCCATCTGCCCCAGTCCCTTGCCTCCCCCAGACTCAATGCCCCCAGACCATGAGCGAAACTTCGGCTTCACTCAGTTTGCCTTGGAGCTGAACGAACTGACAGCAGAGCTGAAAAGGACACTACCTTCCACCGACACACGGCTGCGGCCCGACCAGAGGTCAGTGCATGGCTGGTCTCCCCAAGGCTTCCTTGAAGTGGGGCAGGGGCAGAGACCTCAGCTTTGGGGGCCTCTAAGGATAGCCACTACAGTGACTATGGCCCACATTGTCAGGTACCTGGAAGAAGGGAATATACAGGCCGCTGAGGCCCAGAAGCGGAGGATTGAACAGTTACAGCGAGACAGGCGAAGAGTGATGGAGGAAAACAACATTGTCCACCAGGCTCGCTTCTTCAGGTGCTTCAGCCCTCCCCACCACCCTGGGTCCCTCTGCAGCCCAGCTCCTGCTTAACCCCTTCTGCTTTGAGTAGGGTGATTGGAGACAGCACCCAGGACCCAGCCTGTACTCCTCTGCCCTCTGCCCACACCCACTGGTGTTCCTTCCCCAGGCGGCAGACAGACAGCAGTGGCAAGGAGTGGTGGGTGACCAACCACACTTACTGGAGGCTGCGAGCTGAGCCAGGCTACGGGAACTTGGATGGAGCTGTGCTTTGGTAGCCATGGCCCTGGGGCAGGAGGCTCTGGGTCCTCACTCCTGCCCCCACCCCTACCATGGACACATGGGTGAGGTCAGGCTCCCCCTTGCTGCCCTTGAGACCAAAGGGGCAGCCCCGGCTCCAGCCCTTTCCCCTCTGCTGGCCAGAGGGGCTGTATCCCAGCATTCCTCCACTCTGCCATTGGGGTGGAGGCAGAATCTGCTTCTCCAGTCTTGTTACCCCAGCACTGGCATGTCAGGTCCTTCTCGCTCAGCCATCTTCCTTCACCTGGGGGTATTTGGGGGAGACTGCAGGCTCCCCATATCTGCTCCCCATTTCAGTGCCTTCCTAGGACATAGAGGACCCCTTGATTCTCCCCAGGCATTCTGTGCCCTTGGCGCTGGCCCCACTGCAAGGTTTGAGTGAAGGAGAAGAGATGCCCTTTCTCCCTTCTGCCTTCTCTTCAGCATCTTCCCTCTACCCTGGCCCCACTTGTCCTCCTGCATCCCCATCTCCCAAACTGCAAAGCACCTGCAGCTTCCTCCTCCTCCTCCTCCTCCTCTTCCTCCTCCTCCTTCTCCTCCAGTGGTCCCTTCAGTCTCAGCTTAGCAGATGCCCCATAGTAGATGAGCCTCTCCAAGAGGCATGGGAGCAACCTGAGGTGCCTGGCCTCAGACTCACCCAGGCGGGAGTGAGCCAGTGTGAGTGTAAGTTCATGTGAATGAGTGTGTGTGTGTGTGTGTGTGTGTGTGTGTGTGTGCCTGTGTCCTGCTTGCAGGCGAGCAGGATTCCTTAAATGTAACCAGGACATCCCCCTGCTGGATGTCCACCACTGTTGCTGCTCATTTTCTTTTTGCCTCTGAGTCAGGTGAATTGCTATGACATTCCAAGCTCCAATAAAGACTGTCCCAGACTTTGGCCTATGATCACTCATTGAAAAATACATGTTCTCGGAGCTGGAGAGATGACTCAGCAGTTAAGAGCATTGACTGCTCTCGCAGAGGCCCTGGGTTCAATTCCTAGCACCCACATGGCAGCCATGAACCGTCCTTAACTCCAGTTCCAGGGGAATCTGATGCTCTCTTCTAACCTCTGAGGCATTGCATGACACGGTGCACCCTCATCAATACACTCATAAAGTAAAACAATATATGGTGGTACACGCCTTTAATCCCAGCACTCGGGAGGCAGAAGCAGGCAGATCTCTGTGATTTCAAGGCCAGCCTGGTCTACATAGTGAG